CCCCCCCCCCCCAAAAAAAAAGTATTCCTGTAGATAAAGGGCGTACTCTATACCCTTTAGCCTAGCAAGGCCATTTAATGTTTATTACCTCTAGCATGAGAGTCACTGTATTGCCCTTGGGCTAAATCTTAAATCTGACTTGCTGCCTCTTGTAAATAAAGTTTTATTGTAAATAGCCACATCTATTTGTATTTTCTTTTTTCTATTGCAGCTTTTGCACTGGAAGGCAGAGTTGGGTAGTGCCCTGCCCTCAAGAACTAAGTAGTATGACTTAGTTTCATTTTAAACTTTTATTGACACAATGCCTGTACATATTTTGAAGGGACATCTTGATGTCTCAGTATGTGTATATTGGATAATGTCAGTCTATTTAGCATATTTGTACCATAAACATCATTTTTTTATATGAGAGCATTCAGAAACCTCTTTTCAAGCTATTTTGAAACAGTATTCTGTAAGGTAGAATTGGGTAGTTGCACTAGAAACCATACTGCCTACAAAGCTAAAAATAATTAAATGTTTGTAGAGTAATGCTTTACTCTAGCTCAATATTGTTTCTTTTAGATATATTTGCAAATATGTGTCAATATAGGTATACAGGGGTACTCAACTCAAGAGTTGTTAATAGAAAAAAAATTAAACTGAAAGCAAACTTAGGAAGTGTACATTATTCAGGTTTGTGCTTGGATTGAATTCCTCCTGGTGAGACTGTTGTATAGCATTACTACATGGACTTAAGTATACACAAAACACAATCTTGTACTCCCAATTTTAGTGGAGAGGACCACCAGATAGTACAATCTGGGGAAGAAAGAAAAGGATACCCAGTTAATTTGGCTGGCCTCTGTATATCCAGAGCTCTTTAGTGAGTATTGTTAAACTTTGCATTTTCACCCAGGAATCTTGAAAGGCCATTAAAAAATAACTATTAGAAAAGCAAAACAGTTACATACCAAAGAAGAGAGATTGAAATAGCACCAGCATAAAATACTGCTTTTGATGTTGATGAAGTAGGGAAGCCCTTTGTGTGCTGAGGTATGGGGATGGAAATCTTGAATGTAGTGAAAGGTCTAAGATCTGAGGCTTAGAATTAAATTGACTTTAGTAAGGAAGTCAAGACTAAACTTAGAGGATTTGGTTGCCGTGTAATAAGGAGTTGATTGCTTGGTAGGAAAGTTGAACTTTAGTAATCTAAGGAGAAAGTAGGCCGAGTTCTAATATGATCGCTAGCCCTGGACAAAATGTAACTTTTTAGAAAGCAGCAGTGAAAGTTTTCCAGAATTATTTTGTTCACTACTGGTAGTACTGGTAGGTAGGGAAAAAAAAGCTCACTCTCTTTTAGTATAAATGTAGTGACTATGTGTTTTGAATTATTTAATTCCTTTAATTAAAGGAATTAAACTTTAAAAAATTTACAAAGTCTAAAAATTATTAAAATCCAGTCAATTTAATTATACTTATGACAACTTCACATGTGAGATGCAGATACATATGACATCTCACATGTGAGATAGGAATACTCCAGAAAAATCTAGGTCATGTGTGTTGTATTTATATGGTCATTGTTAACAGATGCAGGCAGGAGATCAGTGGAAAGCCTGCTGATAATTGGAGTGGGAGCAGAGGCAGATGCATTGAACTCCTCTAATGGTCCTTCTACAGAAAATTCAGTGTGTCAATGTCCTTGCATTTGTATTTGTTAAAATGTGGAGCTGGTCAAGAAGAATCTTACACGGCAAAGTCTGACATTGTTGATAGGGATCTCTTTAAAAGAGTACCTTTTTTCCTCTTTGGAAAAAATGTCAGAGTAGTGAGAGACATCTGTTTTTTTAATTTATTGCCTAATTTCCACATAATGTATTTTTGCTACAAACAATAAAGTTTGTGAGTGTTCAAGCCACCTAAAAGTAGACAAAGTAGAGAACTATTATGTCCTACCCAAGCTAATTTAAGCAGTGACAGATAAGATTACTGGGGAAATGTGTTTAATTAAATAGATATATTGTTTAAGCGGCTTATTTTTCTATATGGAAAGTTAAGTAAGCATATTATTTCAGGTGGCAGATGTAGAAGACCTTTGGGAGTGTGTGTAGGTGGAACAATGTAAGCTTTCTTCTGGTTAATCAGGGAGGACTTCATGGAAGAGGATGAGTAAGTGGATAAGAAGCTGAGGGGGGTGGGTTATCTTTTTAAAATCTTTACGATTTTAGTTTTTTAACTTGTTAACTAATTTAAAACTAAAGAGGAACAACATTTTTTAAATCAAGGGCAACAAATTTTAATTTTTTATTATATGAAGTAGGTGGAGTATCCCATCACCTTGGCTTTTTTTTTTTTTTGAGTTGTATTTTGTTTACTTCATGCTTACTTATTTCACTCTGTATCATCCTTCAGTTAGATCAAGAGCATAATGAAAGTGAGAATTATCTTCTGTGCTTCTTTGATATCCAGTATAGAAGAGAATGATAGATGTGTTAGCAATCTCCCTGTAGAAGAGGGAGGGAAATTAAGTTTCAAATATGGGAAGGCACAGGAGTGCTTTGTTAGCTACTTGCATTGGGGCAAAATATGTTTAAAGCGAGGGCTTGGCACAGAGAACTAGGGCAGAACCTTGATGATATTTCTAGCTTGGAGGACCAAGTTGAGATGAGTATGTCATGGTGAAATAATCAGGAGACTAGTGGAAGACAGGAAACACTAACTTTAGTAGTGGCTTAATGTACAGGTGGGGCCAGGTTTCCCTCAGACATGAGGAATTCTGTTCAGGATGAGATCAGGACCTCAGAATCTGTAACAAGAAAGTGGGTTCATATAAGACAGAAAATGTTTAAAATGTTTTTTTTTCTCTGCAAGAATGAGTTCTTGATCTTTATATGGAAGCCTAGCAGGTAAGAGCTCTTAAGATTTAGTATATTGTATTTATTTTGACCTGTGTTGGTAGGAACTGTGATTCTGAATAATTACTTTTTTCTTGTAGCAGTCCTTGCAATCAATATTTCTTATATTCTTTTCATGCTGCATAGCTGTTAGAAAGAAATAATATCCTGATTTGAAACAGGTGGGAATGGAGTACTATGCATAGGGCTGAGAAGCTTTTTTTCTCTTGGAGTGTATTGAGCCTTTTCTTCTTTCTGTTAATGTATAAGAGACATTAAATGTCATATTATGCTGTTAAAGCATTTTAAAATTTTGTTTTTGTTGCCGTACAGAAAGATTTAGTGGGATAATGAGAAATAATGCCAGTTAACATTCCCAGGTTTTATCTCAGGCATCTAATTTGAACAATATTGGTTTGTTTTTGTAGAGAGGTTCTTTTTAGGAACATTAAATGTTTAAGTTTTGTTCCATTTCATACTTACCTTGTTACTTTGGCAGAGTGGGATGAACACAGGACCTTGAGCTTGCAAGGCAGGTGGCGGAACCACTGAACTAAATCCTTGGCCCTACCTTGGGTTTTTATTTAGCACCTAATAGGTGTCAGATACTTCAAGGCATTTTCTATGTATTATTTCATTTAATTTTGTGGACTCTTTAAAAGATGGATAGTGCTATTTCCATTTTTACAAGACCAGTGCTCTAATCCCTGAGGTATGGAGTTAGTGCTTGGTATTTCCATTTTTAAAGGTAAGGTCCTTGAAGCTTTTACTAACTAGATTTAATCCTCTCCATTCCCCTGAAAAATATACTGATTGATGATCCAGGCTTAGTAATCTCATACGCCTGGTCGGCTGTATTTATGCATACTTCTATATGTTTGCTTCAGCTGTATGAGCTGTATTCTTAGCAAGAGTCAATAGTATTTGTTCTCAAATCTCTTAATTGTTTATAATTCATCTGATTCCTAAAAGAGACTGTTTTATAATAGCTGAGTTCAGTGTTTGGAAAGATATTGACAGCTGCAATACTTGCTATCTAATTAGATGGAAAGAGGTTTTAATAAATTTGAGAGAAAGCAAATCTGGAATAGTCTGAATTCTTGCAAATGTTTTTATTTTTGCTATACTTTAAAGAAACAAGCTAAGTGCTGGAGAAAGCATTAGGGATATGATTTTTGTACAAAAGTCACTGTGGAAAAAATAATCAGAGGAACTGTACTACAAAATGGCTTTTTAAAATATGAAACCCATCACAGATATGTGTTATCCTTGTGCAAGAGCCATGCTAATTTTCTCTGTATGGGCTTTCAGTTTTAGTTTATGTGCTTTAGAACCGAGCCCTTCCAAAACATCCTGATCCCAAGTTGGAGCCAAATGCAAAATAAGATACCGGCAAGTGACCTTAAGATTAAAATGTCATTTACTAATGGTGCTGTGATTGGAGCTCATGCCTGTAGATCTCCTATAGCCTCATTGGCCCACCAACATGTGATGAAAGAATAGTCCAATTGCTAGTGTGGTCACTTTTTTATTATATTCGCTAACATACTCAGGAGCTATGTACACTAGCCAGTAAGCTCTTCTGGGAGAAGGTGGGTAGGAAGAGAATGGAGTTTTTCTAGATAGAGGGCTGAAGTTAGGAAAGGCAATACCTTCCTCTGTGAAGGTATTGGGTGATGTTTTGTGTTTTAAAATATTACAAGTAATATGTGACTCATTTGCAATATATTGACTTTATTCTACTTTTGATATTATGAACATATGTCTCTATTTTATTATATAAGATATATAATTATTTGCTAAACTTTTTTTTCAGCTTTAATTGAGTTTATTGGTACATTTTAGGGATACAGTACAGTTACATTCATTGTTGGGATCTTGTACCTCTACATGACAAGTCTTGATTCTCATTTTTTCCCCTTACCCCTGCCCTCCCTTCACCCCCTTGCTAAACTTTTATATTTGCGAAAAAGGAGCCAAACTTCAATACAGATTTCATTTTATAATTTTTATAAGCCATGGCGTTTCACTAAATTGCTTCTAGAGAGGTTTCTTTTAGGCATCCTCTTGCTTCTTTTTCTAGATCTGTATCCTACCTAAATCTTCTCTTTTGGTCTTTGGCTCCAGGGCCAATTTCCTTTCAATCCAGAGAATAATTTTCAAACTGGAAAGCTTGTATCAAATAACATAATAGGATGGAATTATGGCCTAGAATAAGTAAAGAGAGCAAGTTACCATCTAGCAGCTTTAAATACTTAAAATGGCTGGGGATATAGCTTAGTTGCTCAGTTATTGAAGTCTTAATAAACTATGTTAATATAAATGTGTCAGAGTCATAAATACCATGGTTACATTGTAATCTTAGCTGGTAAATTCATTTTCATGTTTTTCTGAGAGTCACTCACTCATCAGCTAATGTCTAGAGTATGAACATGTTTAGGAGTTTTAATGTTTATCAATTTATTGATTGATTGATTCTGGGAATTGAACTCAGGACATTGCACTTACCAGGCACGTGCGGGGCCACTGAGCTACATCCCTGGCCCGACATGTATAGGATTAGTTAGTTACTGAAACTGGTTTCATAGAAGGAAGGAATAGTTAAGAAACTGGATATGGTACAACTAAGGGTGAATTGAAATAATATTCTCTAGATTTAATAAATGTAAAAGATGGTATATATTTCTCTGGTGTTCTTTTAGAAAATAGGTAGGAAGTGTGTGTGTGTGTGTGTGTGTGTGTGTGTGTGTGTGTGTGGTATAGGATCAATTTAAAATAACTAGGCTTTGTTGCAGCTCTCACATATTGCCATTATAACTTGAGGACAGTCATAGAATGTGGCAAACAAATGTGTATAGCTTTATTTTGGCAAAACTGTATTGGTAAAAAACAGGTAACAAATTGGATTCCACCCTCAGGCAAATATTGTAGTGTTACAACTTCTGCTATAGAAGAACAGTTTTCATCTTAAAGAGAAGGCTAAGAGGCAGTGGGTTTTACTAGTAGAAAAGACTGTCTTTAGTGGCCTGAGAGCCCTTTTACTGATTTATTTTAAGTATTTGTATAAGATGCTGCTGGTCAGACTCTTGAATTAACCAGAATAGAGGATCATTTAACACCTAAGACCTCGGCCAACTTTTTCTCACCAACCTTCCATACTTCTTCCACTTCATGAATTTAATCATTTGAATATTTTGTTTAATGAGAAAAGATTCAGCTCCAAAAATATATATATTAAACTTGGCTTTGTATGAGCATGTTTAATTTCATTTTTATTGAATTTCATCTAGTATTTTATAGTGTACAGGTTTTATTGTATGTATGTATTTCACTATATATAATACAATATTGCCTCTGTGTAAATATATATGTAGTTTTTACATATACAACAAAATGTACATGTTGTAAGTGTATAATTCAGTTAGTTGTGAGATGTTTAGACAATTGTTTACATACACATACCATACCCTAATCAAGATAGAATGTCCATCATTCATGAAAGTTTGTTCTTACACTCTGCAGTCACTTTTCCTTACCACCTGTCTCTTGGACACACTGTCTGATTTCGATTTCTGTCTATGTAAATTAGTTTTAGCCTGTTCAGAAATAACTTCATATTAATGGAATTGTGCAGGATCAACTCTTTTATCTGGCTTCTCTGGTGTTTTCAGATTCATCCAAGTCATTGCATACATTGGAAATCATTTCAATGGTCATTTATTGCTGAGTCTGTTTTCTCTGTACCAGTGTTTACTTCTCTGTCTGTTGATGTGTATTTCTTTGACTTACAAATAAATATGTTGTGACCTTTCTGTACATTTTTTTGGGGGGTACTGGGGATTGAACTGAGGACCTTGCACTTGCGAGGCAGGTGGCAGAACCACTGAGCTAAATCCCCAGCCCTGTACAAATTCTTTTTGGGGCATTTGTCATTTTTCTTGGGTAAATATATAGGTCTGAAATTGCTAGGTTGCACTGTCAGTATGTACTGAATATTATACTCCCACAAGCAATGTGTGATGTAGTTGCTCATGTCCTCAAAAGCATAATATGGTCAGTATTAGGTTTGGCTATTCAACTGAGTATATGGCAGTATCTCATCATGGATTTAATTTCCACTTCTGTATGGATCAATGATGTTGACCATGTGCTTATTCATTGAAGTAGTTTTGCTTATTTTTAAATTAAGCCACCAGGTTTCTTTTATTTTTCTTTTTATTGAGTTTATTGGTACAATCTAGGTATACAGTACAGTTACATTCATCATTGGGATTCTGTACCTTTACATAATAGGTCTTGCTTCTCATTTTTTCCCCTTTCCCTGCCCTCCCTTCACCCCCTCCTCCCCTCCCCATTTACAAACACTTTATTTCCATTTTTTCAGTTTCTCATATTTTTCTCCTCTCCCTTATTACCATTCCCCCACCCTTCCCACTTTCCCTACACCTTTAGCCCTTTACTTCCTATTTCACATTATTAATTATCTCATTAGGATCCTGTGTACTATTACAGTGTTTCACACCAGAGAAACTATTCGGTATTTCAGTTAAAGAA